TCCCAAATTTTAGAAGTTTAAGTTAAGGGCTTAAAGTGTAAATTGAAGAAGGGACTCAACAAGTAGGTATACTTACTCGCTGAGTCAGAGTGGGTTTCGGTTCGCGAATTAAGTGAGCAACTCGCCAAGTCAGAAGCTAGACTTAACGAGTTGGTGCTGGAATGAGAAAAACTCTAATCTCGAGGGTTGCACCCTGTTTGAAGGACTTTATGTCCTTCCCTCAGCCTTCTTATTTCCCTTGAGAACCAGAAAACCCTAAGCTCGTGTGTTTGAGGCCTTTGGAGGGAGATTGAAGCTTTAGAAGTTATTTCTAATGGAAGAAACTTGAAGATCAAAAGGACTTGCATCAAGAGAGTGGCATAGATCCAAAATCTACTTCAGGCAGTTCAGTGTTCAGGCAGTTTAGTGTCTCAGGCAGTCAGTATTCTAGGCAGTTCAGTGTTTCAAGCAGTCAGGGATCAGGCAATTCAGTGTTTTAAGCAGTCAGTGTTTCAAGCAGTCAGTGATCAGGCAGTTCAGTGTTTCAGACAGTCAGTGATTCAGGCAGTCAATGTTCAGGCAGTTCAATGTTTCAGGCAGTAAGTGATTCAGGCAGTTAGTGTTCAGGCAATTCAGTGCTTTAAGGAAGTTCAGTGTTTTCAGACAATCTTGGGTCTCCAGCGGTAATGGTATTTTGGATTTTCATGGATAGCTTGTGGAGTGGCAAGTCACTCATAGCACAATTATCTGAGCTATGGCCAAGTATAAGTAAATCACTAGGATAAGTGGATCTGTAGATTTTGTTGTTCTAGCGGCAACCTGGGGTAGTTAGCATGAAAGGAATGGATTCATGAAGAGGACAGAATGAGTTCCAACCTTGCGAGTTGCTCGGGTTATCGGCAAATATGGAAAAAGGGAGGATAGTTTGGCACTAGGGAGAGGACCCAGTGAATTATTGTGGTATCTAACTTTCGCAAGTCACGAAAGTGTGTACCTGTCAGGAAGGGGACAATATCATCGGGTGATACTTGGTTGTTATGTTATGTCATACGAGGACGAAGCCTAATTTAAGTGGGGAAGAGTTGTAATATCCCAAATTTTAGAAGTTTAAGTTAAGGGCTTAAAGTGTAAATTGAAGAAGGGACTCGACGAGTAGGTATACTTACTCGCTGAGTCGGAGTGGGTTTCGGGTCGCGAATTAAGTGAGCAACTCGCCGAGTCAGAAGCTGGACTTGACGAGTTGGTGCTGGAATGAGAAAAACTCTAATCTCGAGGGTTGCACCCTGTTTGAAGGACTTTATATCCTTCCCTCAGCCTTCTTATTTCCCTTGAGAACCAGAAAACCCTAAGCTCGTGTGTTTGAGGCCTTTGGAGGGAGATTAAAGCTTTAGAAGTTATTTCTAGTGGAAGAAACTTGAAGATCAAAAGGGCTTGCATCAAGAGAGTGGCATAGATCCAAAATCTACTTTAGTTTGGGCACATCTTGAAGGTAAAAAAGTTGTTACCTTCCCTCTTGTGCATCTAAATCTATTCATGTATAAGATTTAGGGCCATTTTGGTATGTTTGAGATCTATGCAGATTGCATAATACCAACCTCTTTTGATTAAGCTTCGGATGTGTGAGTCGGTTGGTGACTCAGTGAGTTGTTCAAGACAGAATTCTGAGATCGTTTAACTCGACGAGTCCTGGGGTGACTCGGCGAGTTGAGTCGTGTTCTGTGAGTTTTCTGAGTATGAGAAATTGACGAGTCGACGAGTTGACTCGGCAAGTAGAGTCAATCGGGAAGGTTGACTTTGACCAGGACTTTGACCAAAGTTGACTTAGTTGACACCGGGAGGATAGTTTAGTCTAAGTATTGTTATTAGTATTGGTTGCTCAGGGAGCTAGAGGAGCAACATTTCGGAGAGTTGTCGGTTAGTAGCCGGAGGGTTATCGGCCGAGTTCAGCAGTTCAGGTGAGTTTTCCTTCCAGTTGGAACGGGTCTACGGCCACAATGCCGACCCTTCTAGTTAGCAGTAGTTTCTGGACTTCGGTCCGATACAGTATTTCAGTGTGCTTGATGTCTTTGTGATTCAAGCATGGTTTTGTGTTATGTGTTCTGGACTTCGGTCCGATGCAGTATGCAGTATATGTGCTTATGCTAGTAGTTATGATTATGCTATGCCATGTTCAGCCAGTTAGTCCGGACTTTGGACCGATGTAGTTAGCCAGACTTCGGTTCGATGGAGGGGGCAAGGCCCCAGTTAGTCCGGACTTCGGTCCGATGCAGTTTCCGTACTTCATTCCTATGCAGGGGGAAAGGCCCCAGTTAGTCCGGACTTCGGTCCGATGCAGTTTCCGGACTTTGATCCGATGTAGGGGAAAGGCCCCAATTAGTTCGGATTTTGGTCCGATGCAATGGGCAAGGCCCAGTATGTGCTTTATATGATATTGTATGGTATGTTGTAGTTTGGGGGAGCTTCCAAAACTTTGTGCTTACAGTTTCATTTTTGGTTTCAGGTACTTCTGAAAGCAATGGGGAGAGCTCGGATTGATGGCATGACACACACCACAGTTGCAGTTTATTCCTAGGAGTTTTATTTAGATATTTTGAAATGATATTAACTTCATTTTTTAATTGATACATTTACCATGGAATTTTGAGACATACAATTCATGGTTTTATTATCTCATAGTTGATGTTGCAATTTTTAGTAATATTAAAACAAAAAATTTTGGGTCGTATTTTGGGTCGTGACAATTTGAGAAAAAATAAATCATTATATAAGCTAAATAAAGGATAGTTTAGTCATTTTATGTATACAATTAATTATAATCCCAAAAATAATGGGTCAATTCCCCTAAATGCGGTTCTATCTAACTAACCCTATATTTCTCTAAACCCATCGCTCACAATTCTTCCATTTATTCCTCCTATTCGTTGCCTATAGTAACTGGAATCGCGCCCCTCTTCACCTTCATCAACACCATCGCAGCAACATCAATTTAATTTCAAGCACTTGTTTCTATACAACGATTCCAATTTATACGATCTGGGGGAAGGGGTGAATTGTTGGGAATCATCTAACATGTGCACGCTTCCAAGATCTACTGGTAAGCTCTATATTTTTCCTAAATCCAAATTTCTATTCAAATTCGATTAATGTATTTGGAGATGATACTTCTAAGAATTGAGGAAATCAAAGGTTTTGATTTTAGGGTTTTTGGTTCTACAATGATAGAAGGCGAATTAATTTCTTTTTTATCACCACCCGAGTCTAAAGGGAGACAAGACATTTTTGCTTATCCACCTGCAAAATAGAATAGGCGAAGATGGGATCGTCATATCTGGTTCATGCTTCTCCATCGTCGAGCCATCATCGTTGCCTAACTCCAATGCTAAATCGAGAATCGACCCTCCAGGGCTCTTTTGATAAACATGATTCAAGTGTTTTCTTGATAATCATGAAGTGATGTCTGGACCAGTCAATCGATTCAGGTTAGTAAAATTCCATTTGATTAAATTATGTTCATAATTTTTGTACTTTATTTATTTTGTGTTTTATGTTTCATTTTTATTTTGTGTTGCGTATATACCTATTCAGAATGAAATCAGTGCATTCTATCATATTACATGCTTCTAGGTGCAGCATAAGAAAGAAAAAAAGACAAGGAAGAAGGAAATTTTGATACAATTGATGAATAAAGAAGATAAGCAACAAAAGATTATGGCTTTTGGAGTTACTCCCACTTGCAGGTTCATGGATCCAGAGCAAAAAAAAAAATAGAATTTGATTTTATGAAAGGCATTCTCATAGAATGTCATTCTCACAAAATGTATTCTCATTCATTCTTAAAGAATTACCGAAGAACGTTTCTAAGATTTTCTTTTTGATGTAATACTTTTTACGTGAATTCATGATTATTCTTAGAAGAATGATATTTTTCCTTTATTGTCATTGTATCTGTTAGAATATGCATATTACATTCTATTAGAATAGTTATTCTTATGTTATGTTTATACATGTATGTTGATTCTTTAATGTTGGTTCTTGAAGTTATGTATGTTAATTATTGTAAGAATGTTTATACCAGATTATTTTATATATATTCTGTCAGAATATGGTTTTTTATTGTATTTTTATTCTTTAAGTTTCGTAAGTTCATTAACTCCAAAATCTGGAAAATCAAATTCCAATCCCAAATTTATTGAAATCGGATGTGATTGTTTGGTTAGTAGCAATAATATTTCACATGCCATATTTGATTGTTAACCAAATTGACATAATTACCCTTAAACCCGTTTTGAGCTTATTAATTAAATAGGATAATCACTTTTTAAATTACCAAATATGATTAGACCACAAAGGATCCTTACATCCACACAATAATTACAATCCACATTATAACATATATATATATATATATATATATATATATATATATATATATATATATATATATATATATATATATATATATATATTCATTTAATTCTATTTGTTGCAATATATTGTTTATTAATGTTATTGTCAGATATTATTTAATTTTATAAATAATACATCTCCATCAAACCAACAAATTATATGTTTTCTTTTTAATATTATATAAAGAGGGTAGTTACTAATTAAGTGTTTCATAAAAATAAACTTTTGAAAACGATCCATGATTCAAAATGATTTAAGTTAATAATATTTAATTTAATAAGTTAATGGAAAGATAATATGATAAAAATTTATTTATATATATATATATATATATATATATATATATATATATATATATATATATATATATATATATATATATATAGGAAGGATTATTTGAGAACCCAAAGTTTCCCGAGAACCAATTGTGAGCCGTTAGATCAAAATAATAAAAGGCAAGGATGTTTGGTGGCGTTTTTGTAAATAATTTGAAAAAAAGACACGGGGAATCATAATTATTATGAATTAGAGGCATTTTAGTAAATAAATAATTCAGACCCCCCTCTCTTTCTCATTTCAACTCCTATCTTCTCATCACCTCCTCCTCAGTGGAGATGACGTCTTCATCGGTCAGATGGTTGAAGACGGAGACCAATCTTTTGAACACGGAGGAGCATCACTTCAAAACTAACCTTCGTCGTGCAAAGAATAACCAAAAGCATGATCTGTCAGCTTGTCCACGGCATTACTCGATTATCCAACATGAATGGATCGGAATTCTGAAAGCATATCGGATTGAGATCCAGATCTCATCTCAGGTTCCCTGCCGACGTTAGTGAGGCCCCTATCCTTTCGATGAACTTTTTCCCTAATGATTTCAATTGGTGAGGCTATGGTGCAGTCACCGCTAATGTTAAGAATCAGGTACTCCAAATTTAAACAATCAGTATCCTTCATTTGGAAATCTAGTAATATTTATTATTGTTAATGTTATCAATTGCCATGATTATCCAATTTTATGGATTTTTGTCCTACATACAGGACAAGAAATGCCCTCTTAATCTGAAAGAGGCGATTTGGAGTCTCTGTTTTTTTGCTCCAAGATGTGCAGATTTTATTGAGCTGGTCCGACTATAGATGACTTTTTTTGGTAAATATGGCAAAGTAATCATCAAGTTATTTTGTGAGCTTGTTGTTGTTCATCTTCTAATTATTGAAACTCAAAGGTATGTTTGATCTTTTTGTTTTTTCCATTTTATTTAAGCCTTCTGTTGATGATGCTTGCATGAATTACAAGTTTGAAAGTTATCATATAATGATTTGAATGCCAAAAACAGTAGATGGGTCAGATTTCTTGATTTGATATCAAGAAATCTTAGTAATATACTTGTTGATCTTATTGAATCTTGTACATACATACAGGGAATGTCCTCTTGACCTGAAATAGATGATTTCTATCAAGAAATCTTAGTAATATACTTGTTAATTTGATTATTACCAAATGATCATTGCACTTTTTTTATCGACAGATTCATCGGCTATTAGTCAAATAATTTAATTGATTGTTCCACTTCAGGTGCAGAAGTTTGTCGCCATGTCTGAAAATATGGTAACACAAGAACACCATGAACTCACTGAAGGTCTTAATGATCTATTTACTAATGTTTCCATCATGATTAAAGGAGATCTTCAGGTTTCATTACAGCTATTAGCAATTGCAATTAATTATTTTCTTTTGATCGTTGAGCTTTTCATTAATCATATGTCTCTATTCAAATTAAATAATAATTTCGGTTATTGAAGAGTCACTATGATCTCTGAAACTGCATATCTTGTCATTTATTTTATTTGAATACTTTTATATAGTTCATCTAAATACAATGTTAAGCTCTCGATATCTCTGTTAGTTGTTATACTCTTCATCTTTATTTGAACTGATCACAAACAACAACATGCTTATTATCTTTTTTGTTAGTTAGCACTGGTAGGAGGCCTAATTTCTTAATATTGATTTCTATTAACAATTTGGCAGTTTGTTAATATGTATTTTTTTATTGAAATCATTCTATGAGAATTTTGATTCGAATTTCATCAACATTAGGACAAAAGCTTGTGAGGTGTTGCAGAGAGAAGATGGCCTAAATGAGATTGTATAGGTATATTGGTGGTTTTATTATATTATATATTATGTTTTATTTGATGAGAATTATATATATATATATATATATATATATATATATATATATATATATATATATATATAGATATATATATATTTGATGGTTGTAGTTTGGTATTTGTAGCTGGTGGTTAAATAACATGTAATTTACATATGAATTACATGTAAATCACATAAGAATTATATGTGATTCACATGTAAATCACAAGTGAATCACATATGAATTACATGTGATTCACATGTAAATATCATGTAATCTACATATGAATTGCATATGATTCACATGTAAATCACAAGTGAATTACATGTGAATTCATATGTGAATTACATGTGAATTACTTATAATTCACATATGAATTACATGTGATTCACATGTAAATAAACTGTAATTTACATGTTATTCATATGTGTAACACCCTAAATCTGGTATGTCTTGAGACCCCCAAGAATTACATTTTATCATAAGTGGTCCCTTAAGTACGCTGGGCATACTTAAGTGTACGCTTAGTGTACTACACTTGGTTGATCGCGGGTTATCTAGGGGTACGCTGGGCGTACCAAGCCATATGTCGGGCGTAGGTGTCAAGGGTTCAAAACCCTAATTGTCGGACATGAGACCTATTTAAGCAACCTTATGTCCCTTGGACTTAGCCCTAGAGAGCCTCCACTGCCTTAGAACGCCCTTATACTCCAGAGAACTTGTGTGAGACCGTTTTAAGCTTACAGAAGTGCTTTGTGACTCTTTCAGTGTTCATTCCAAGAAGAAGAGGTGGTTTTTCAAGCTTGGAATGAGTTGGTGCTTTAAGATCATGCATCCTAGTCATCTTGCAAAGCTTCTGGAGGTATAAAGCTTTCACCTTTCTATCTTAAACTCTAGATCTAGCTACGGTTTCTTGTTTGGTTCATTTTTGGATGATTTTGTACCTCCTTTGAAAGTTAAGCAACTCCAGGAGAATGGATAGACAGCTCTGAGGCTCTTTGGTCCTTTAGTACCATAAAATGGAAGCTAGATGAGAGCTTTGGCCTCATGCATGGGTAAAAGACCTTGGAAAGGTCTTAATGGAGAAGTTGGGTGTGTTTGATCCATGCAAAGGCATTCAGTTGCCAACTTTATGCCTTAGGACATCTTTACCAACTTAGATTTGGATTTGGACATAAAGGACTTGAGTATTAAGCACTTAATGGGGAAAGTGCTCAAACTGAGGGTACGTTAGGCGTAACTCAGTGTACATGGGGCATAGCCCCATGTTCCAGTACGCGGTGCGTACCAAGATGGTACGTCGAGCGTACGCAATGCAGATGGGTCGAACCTGTTTTGGGCCCTTAGGCTATTTGGGCCTCATTTGATTATTGGGCCTGGTATAATCTGGGAATTATGAGTCATATAATTGTTGCGGGCCATGGAATTAGTGTTGGGCCTTATTGGGCCAAGAAGCCCATTAAGGATTATGGATTGTACATCGAGCGTACGCAATGCAGATGGGCCGAACCTATTTTGGGCCCTTAGGCTATTTGGGCCTCATTTGATTATTGGGTCTAGTATAATCTGGGAATTATGAGTCATATAATTGTTGTGGACCATGGAATTGGTGTTGGGCCTTATTGGGCCAAGAAGCCTATTAAGGATTTTTGACTTGGGCTTTGGGCCCATTAGCAAAGGATGGATATTTGGGCCTTATAGAAGGGTTGAGGATTTGGTTTCCCTTGGTTAACCAAAGTTCTAACATTGATTAATATTATCATTCAGCTTGGGAGATTTCGGACTGTTAAAAGAGCAGCTATTGTATTCAGCAGACAGAGGTGAGTCTTCTCACCATACCTATGGGTCTAAGGCACCAAGGCCGGCCCATTATGTGTTTATGGTATATGTGTTAAGTATTATGTGAGTTTATATGATATGTGATTATGTGTTTTGCATTAAGACCCCGGGGGAGCCCGTGGCATTGGATGTAAGACCATGTGGGGTAGCCCATGGCAGTCCAAGGTAAAGACCATGTGGGGTAGCCCATGACATTGGATGTAAGACCATGTGGGGTAGCCCATGGTAGTCTTAGGTAAAGACCGTATGGGGTAGCCCATGGCATTGGATATAAGACCATGTGGGGTAATGCCATGGCAGTCCTAGGTAAAGACAATGCGAGGTAGCCCATGGCACTATTACAGGTTTTATGTATGCATGGTTTATGTGATATGTGCGTAGCATTAATTAGCTAACAGGATATGTGCATGTGTGGTGTGTGGTATGCTCTGTGGAACTCACTAATCATTTCACTTATAGGTTGTTGATTTGTTTCAGGTACATCTGAGCCCAAGGGCAAGGGCAAGGCGTGATGACGCGGTGTGCACTCTATCTCTCTCTTTCACTGTTAGGAATTGGGGATACTTTGATGATTTCAATAAGTTGTAATGAATCATTGATTTGAAAACAATTATGTGGGGATTTCATGGTTTATGAATTTATGTTTTATTAATTAAAAGTGAAAATTTTCTTTAAATTTTAGGTCATTACAAGTTGGTATCAGAGCCTTGATTTTCAAAATAAGGAAATGGTAAAAATGTTTTCAATAACAACTTAAAAATGGTTTTCAAAAGAAAATGAAAGATGAGAGTGCAATGTGCGTGATCAGCCGAGCCAAGTAAGTAGTTGCCCAATATGTTAAGTCATGTTATATTGATATTTGAGCCTTGTTGATTATATGGAACTTGCTATGTGTATGGTTTTAAAATTGTATACGTTGGTAGCTTATAGCCTTAAAATGATTGATTTGGCCTTATTTCATGTTCCTTGTTTGGTTGTGGTTCTAGGGTAGAGTATGTTATTCGAAAGCCTATTTGATCCTTTTCTGTGTACAGTTTGCATGCATAAGGGCAACCTTTCATGATTGGTTTGATTGATATGAGTAGAGTGAATCTTATGATAGCCTGAGGTTGGGGTATTTGGTAATTGTGGGATATGGTTTCGTTGTGGGACAAATTGAAGTTATCAGGTAGAGCAATGAAGAAAGGTACAGGTAGGTGTCGAAGGTAGTATTGGGCCCATACTACTGGAAGCACAGGACTTGTACCCAAAGCAATGTTAGATCTGACAACTTCAAGGAGGACCGGTGTGGGAAGATCCCTTATATGGAAATCTTGATCATTATAATTTATGATATTTCAATTCAGCATGGTGGTAACACGTTTTGGAGCAGGAGGATCAGGATAGGGGTCTAGATCCGGGGCGCAATCAGGAGACACTATTGATGTCATCGATGAGAGGTTGTGCGAGATCATTGCATCCGAGGTTACCAGGGGCATACTTGACGCGACCCCAATCATTTTTGGGATGGTTAAGGAGGGAATTCTGGAGATTATGGAGGAGAGACTCAGATCGTTCAGGGATGAGTTGCTGGCGGGTCAGGTTGGGACCCAAACTCCCTCGTTTCGGGAGTTCAAGGCGTGTGGGGCGTTGGAGTTCTTCGGGGTCAGGGACCCCATTGTCAACCGATGCTGGGTAGCGGACATCGAGAATGCCCGATGCACAAGTTCTTGCCCGGATGCAGCGAAGGTTGGGTTTGCTTCATGTATGTTGAGAGACGGGGCCCATGATTGGTCGGACGAGGTTACTAGTCAGGTGGGGACAGCTGGAGTAGCCGATATGACATGGGCCTAGTTTGTTTGACGATTTGATTCGGAGTTTACACCACCTATTAAGGTGCAACGTCTAGTGAGGGCGTTTCATGATTTGTAGCAGACCACCGAGATTGTGGCGGAGATCACCACCAAGTTTCGAGAGCAAGCTTTGTTAATCCCACAGTATGTTACCGACAAGGAAATAAGGAGGACCCGATATCATTCCATGTTGAGGGATGATATTAGGGAGTTTGTGAGTTTTACAGGGTGCAAAACCCTAAATAAGATGATGAAGAAGGCCCGTGAGAGGGAGATGGAGTTGGATACCTACACGAAGCGGAAGACT